AGGCTAATGATTTTAACTTCCTTCTTTTGACACTACATTCTCCTAAGCTAGCTCATCCTAATTTTGCTGACAACCCCCTTTCCAAAGCTCAGTCCCACATGGTGTTTAGTTTGAAGTGACCCCTGCCAAAGATGACAATTTTAGTTAGGCTTTAGGCATTTCTATGCAGCCATTTATTATTGTAACTACTTGCACTGTCTCAGCTTTATCTAGGACTAAATGGCATTAATAAGCAAAAAGAGAGAACGTCACTGGTAATTCAGCCAGCAATGTCAAACTTCCCATTTGCAGACCTGATCCGAACACCGTGTACGAGATGTGTGTGGCATTCAAACTCCACAGAAATACAAGCTTTTTTAGTCTGAGATTTTTAACCTTGGCTATGAAAGCTTCATCTCCCAAGATAACTAATACTTATTTGCCCAGGTTTCCCCCCATACCAGAGTTAACAGGCAGGTAAAAATAGCCAAGGCATGTAATAACAATGTCAATATTGGTTATTGCACTGCTGACTGATTTAGCAGATCAGAACAAGGAGCAGAGAAGTCCATCACAGGGGGAGGGGAGGATGGCGGGAGGAGAGGAAAAGAGAAAAGCACAATTAAAGAAACAAGTGCCCTAGAAACACAGCAGCGGACAGAAAACACAACATACTTTTGCTTCTAATAATATTGAATCAAAGACAACACTTAAGTTCCTTTGTTGCTACTATTGGTCACACAGAGGCCACATTCTTTCCCTGATCCTTATATAAATCCACTGACATCTGTAGATTTTCCATCAAAAGGAGCTAACAAACAGTCAAACCGATTCCCCAGCCCATAAAACATAATTAAGAACAGAACTGTGTAACCCTATAAATAGGGCTAAGAGTAAAAGACTGCTGCTCTGAACTGTGGCTCTATATTTGACTGCTGAGATGGAGAGCTGACATCATTCATTAATACAGTCTATTAACTCTGCTCTCCTCAATTAGTTTTTCAATAATTTTACATCTAGCAAAACAACAAGACCTCCCACAAATATTCGTCCCTATAGTTCTCAAAAGTTCTGCCAACCACTCAGCTCCTGCTTTGCTCTCAACTCACTGACCTCATCCGTTTTTCCTGTGTCATTTACACCCAAGTTTCCCAGTTATTCTTGCCATTCTACTATTGTTTCAGAAACATCTACTATAACAAGATACTCTTCTATTTCTTGGCATTCCAGTTCGCCCATTTTTATGGCTGAGCTTATTACATGGTTCTAGCTATTGCCCTTCAGGCACTAACACCTCAGACTCCAAGCCACTGTGTTAAGAAAACATACTACTTGATTATGTATGTGAAGTAATTTTCCCTAACATATAATCTACAGCTTTTATACTTACACTTCTACACACGTTGTTATCAGAAACACAGAATAAGAAAGCTCATCCTGTTCCCCCAGCCCCGAGCTCTCTTCAAACATAACACCCTTCTTTGCTGAAATTCTTCTGTACCACTAATGCCCTGCTGCACCTCAGGAAGAAAACAGTTTTGGTTTCCCTTTGACACCTTAGCCGATAGCCAGTAAAACTCAGGGGAGAACACGAATGAAGTGTTCCTTCCACAGAGCATGGAAAAAAAACACGATCAGTGATGCCTGGGATATCTCCCTACCAAAGAGGAGGGGAAGCGTAACTAAGTGATTCCTCCTTCTAGCTCAGGATCGCACTATCTGGGGAGAGCGAGAATTTAATTCACTCCAGCTGACTCCCAGTCCAACCAGCAAACTGTGAGTCAGGGGTGGGGGGGGGAGCCCCACTCAGAAGCACTGCCCACCGTTTCAGCTCCACCAGCACCCCCTTGCAGAAGGGGGGGCTGCAAGGGCGTTAGCCTTCCCCCACAGGGAAGCACTGCAAAACAGGCTACGCCGCTCGTGACAGCGGCCTGGAGTTTTCTAAAAATAATTTAAGCCCACAGGCTGAGGATGCTTGCTTACTCGGAAAAAAACCCAAAACGTAAGCTCTTAAAGACAGTTTTCTCTTTGTTAATCACTTCTGACAGTCTCTAATTTCTGAACTATGAACTTTGAAATTCAACCTGTCCCTCCCACAACACAACCAAGACTTCATCGAATACCAGGTTCAGAAGAAGGATGCTTCAGCGTTCCCTGTCATCCCCAGAACAAATGCTCAACATCAGTCACTCTCTCACAGTCTGAGGTTTGCAGGAACCTCCCAAAACATCAACGCTGTTTTCTGCTCCACCTGTCTGATACTGTTCTGCTACAGACCGAGCTCTTCCCAGAAAGCTGCTGCAGCGCCACAAATTTTCCACGATTTCTAGACAGGACGTTGTCCTAGGTCTCTGGATTTGCAACATAATACAAAGTACAAAAGTCACCAGAAATGTCTGCACATCAAACACACGAAAAACAAAGCAAGCCTTCAATTTCAAACCATTTTGTTCTTAATCCAACCCTCAGTCATCTTCTCCTGGGCAAATGTTTATTGTTATCACTCAAACCAGTACAGATCATTATGTGTTCCTATTGCATGTTCCAAAATTTAACTTTGCTTACCATGATATCACCATTGGTTGCTATGGAAATTGCTATACTACCATCCACCAGATTTTTTTTTTACCACTGAAGTATTTTGGCAGACTGTTTGCTTTTAAGTGTCAGAGTAAGAAGAGAAATCATAAATGTTTATTCTCCCATCATTCTTAAAACGGTGCTTTGTAACAAAAATCTGCTAGTAAGTGATTACATGCTTGGCTTCAAACATGTGTAGCTCTGGACAGGACCGGAATCACAACTTTTCCTTTGTTTTTTGAGAGAGAAAATAAACTACGTTATGAAAACAAGCTTCAGTTTTTAAAATACTAATTTTTAAGTGGGAGGTCAAGATATGAAAAATACCTCGGGTCCCTCCAAGTTCTCTCAGTTTCCCTTTTTTACTTCCTACGTTGTTTGTTTTTTGTTTTGGTTTTTTTTTTTTTTTTAAACTAGTGCAAAACAAGGCCTTCAAATGAGGAAGGGAGCCCTCGTCAGACTCGTCAAGAAGTCGTCTTTCTGTAAGATTACATGTTGCAGTGATTCCATTTGTGGCTACGACTCCTACCCCGGTTTCTGTACGTTAATAACACCAGCACAGTGACATTCATTTTCACAGACTGCACGGGTGAAGCCGGTGGGGTCCCTCGCTCAGGCTCCAGGCCCTGCACACCCAAAGCCAGCGGGTCCCCAGGAGGCTGACCCCCGCCCCTGACCTTGCCAACACCACCTCTCCCGACAGCTTCAGCAATTAACCACTGGCTAGGCATGAGTCACGAAAACCTGGAAACCCGCGTTCCCACTGCCCATCTTCACCAGGTCAAACACCCCCCACCCCACCCCAAAAAAAAAGAAAAAGCAAACTCTGATCTCTCTTACACGTGCAGAAAGCCCGATTTAACCCAGATATCGCATGAAAGGACACGGTGGGACTCCAGCACGGCCGAGAGCAAGGACTCAAAAATGGACCTCTGCAATCAGAGCTGCCAGAGGGGCGGCGCGGCCAGCGCCAGCGGGGCCACGGGCTATTTAAAAAACCCGAAAAACAGTACAAAACAAGCCAGGGGCAGCTGGACGCGGCCCTGCAGCCCAGGCAGCGCTACGGGACCGGGGCCCGATTCCTCCCGGCGGTCTGGGGGGGGGGGAGGGGGTGTCGCTGG